GGAGGAGCGCGCCGGCGGCTGCCGCGGCCTGCGGCCTCCGACCCCGAGCCCCGGGCCGGACCACTAGCGCCGCAGATCGGCGGCCGCGAACGCCAACCAAGGAACTGGGAAGCGACCTGGAGCGAAGCCTTACGCCTCGAAGGTGCGTCCCTTAGCGAGCCAATCAGACGCTGCGGAGCCTCTGACGTCACTGCGCGGGCGCCAGCGCCGGGCAGGCACGAGGGACGTTTAACCCAAAGTGGCAAACTGCAAGGAGGACTTCTGGTCTCTGGCTAGGGCATTTGTCCTGTGACCTCTGCAGCTGGTTCCCTCAATAAAGTCTTAAGACTTTGGGAATTTCGTCTACAAACCCCCTGATCTGTGCTGGGAGGGTCTCTGGGGGGCAGATGAAGAAGGTCCTGAGTAAATCTGGGGAGCTGAAATGTGGCTACGCTCCCTGACAGAACAGCCAATCCAATGAAAGAGCTCGTCTGACGTCACTGGGTGCTAGTCAGATTTGTGTTACCTGACGATTGGCCAAAAGCCAGTGGGAAGGGAGGGTGGCTAGAAAAGGCGGGAAATACGCCAAAGGAAAGGACAGCAGTGCCGGCTTTCCAGAAAGTTCCACATTTAGGAACTTTCTGTTCCTGATGGGCCCCAGGATGGTCTCTGAGAAAGGAATAAAGGGACTTTGAGTGAATATCTGAAGAGGGTTCTGACAGGTTTATCTGGTCTTGAAGCACACACAGCCTAAATCCTTTCCTGAGAGAATAGCCAATTGGGAGCCACAGAGTCGTATGACATCACTTGGTGCTAAGCAGAATTCTATCCCCACCCAATAGTTGGGTACCTCCAAGCGAGGAGGGCGGGGCTAAGAACGCAGGAAGCAGCTATGGCATGGAAGGTTGTCATGGCCTAGAACTTTCCTTGCCACCTGACCTCTGCCCCCTCCACCCACTATCAACATCACAATTTCAAATTTGAGTGACTTTTGCAGGAGAGTCACTGAGGGAGTACTTTGAGGGCATCTCACAGGAAGGGATAGGACTTAAGGTCCATCTGGGCCTAGACAGTAACCCTGTTCTTTCCTGAGAGAAAAGTGGGCCTCTCAGCCAATGGGGAGTCAGCATGGGCCATGATGTCACAGGGTACTAGGCAGAGAATGAAGCCCTCCAACAAACATTTTGGGTATGCTCCTGATGAGATTAAAAAAGGCAGGAAATAGCCTCCAAGAGGTGACTGACCCCAAACTGCCAATAATATCCTATAACTGGAGAAGCTTGCCTTTGGCCTCCAGCTGGGAGCGGGGTGGGGGCATCTCAGAAGCAGGAGTTAGGAGTCTTCAAGGGATTTTCTAAGAAAAGTTCTCTGTTCCAGCAAAACTCTGTATTCCTTATCTTTGCCCTTTTCATCCTCTCTTGAAGCCAATTCACTTGGGCATTCACCTCACCACGCCACGCTCACATCCAGTCCATCAGAAAATCTTGTACACTCCACCTACTAAATGTGATCATATCTCAACCATTTTTACCATCTCCACTGCTACCACCTTGGTCCAGGCCACCACCACCATCGGATTATCATAATAGTCTCCACACTGGTCTCCCCACTACCCCCCTAGAGTCTTCTTCACATAGAAGTCAGGATGATGGCTTGAAAACCCAAGTTAGATCATGCTACTACTGTGCTCAGAGCTCTTGAATGGCTTCCCATCTCTCAGAATAAAATCCAAAGTCCCTGCCCTGCTCTACAAGGCCCACAGGATCTACCTGAGCCCACCACATCACTGATCTCACCTCCTACAACCCCCCTTCATTCACACCTCTGCAGCCACACTGGCTTCCTTCCTGTTCCTTTAAAAACCAAGCACGGGGCCGGCCCCGTGGCTTAGCCGTTAAGTGCGCGTGCTCCGCTACTGGTGGGCCGGGTTCGGATCCCGGGCACGCACCACACACCGATTCTCCAGCCATGCTGAGGCCATGTCCCACATACAGCAACTAGAAGGATGTGCAACTATGACTTACAACTATCTACTGGGGCTTTGGGGAAAAAAAAAAAGGAGGAGGATTGGCAATAGATGTTAGCTCAGAGCCGGTCTTCCTCAGCAAAATGAGGAGGATTAGCACAGATGTTAGCTCAGGGCTGATCTTCCTCACACAAAAATAAAAAAAATAAAAACCAAGCATGCTCTGCTTTAGCGCCTTTGCACTGGCTGTTCCCTCTTCCTGGGACGCACTTCCTCAGATAACAGCAAGCTAGTTCTCATACTTCCTTGAGACCTTCCATTTCAGTAGTCAGGTTAGGCTAGCTCTATTGGCCTGACACAATGAAAGTTGGTTCTTGTTTATGTACGTGTCCCGTGCTTTCCCACACAGTCGTTCAAGAGTCCAGGCTGAGAGGCATCCACCATCTTGTCATGGCGCCAACTGCAACCCAGGGCATCCTTGATCAATGTGGCAGGGAGAGGGAGAGCGCACTGAATGGTCCCCCACAAGAAATAAATGCTTTGGCCCAGGAACGATTCTGGCCCTTCCACTCACAGCTCATGGGTCAAGACCCATGTGAGCAAGGGTCCACCCAATTGCGTGAAGGTGAAGAAGCAGAATTCTATTATGTGCCCAGAAAGAGATAAGAACCAGTGTATTAATTTTCTATTGCTGCCATAACAAATTATCACAAACTCAGCAGCTGAAACAACACAAATTTATTACCTCACTGTTCTATAGGTCAAAAGCCTGACACAGGTTTTACTGGGCTAAAATCAAGGTGTCAGCAAGGCTGCATTCTTTCTGGAACATCTAGAGGAGAATATGTTTCATTTTCATTCCCATCTTCTAGAGGCTGCCCACATTCATTGGTCCATGGCCCCTTTCTCCATCTTCAAAGCCAGCAATGGCAGGTTGAGTCTCTTTCACTCTTTAAATTTCTCCTGCCTCTTCTTCTGTCCTCATGTCTTTTTCTCCTCAGAGTTGGGAAAGGTTCTCTGCTTTTAAAGACCCATGTGATTAGATGGGGCTCACCCAGATAATCCAGAATAATCTTCCCATCTCAAGGTCCTTAACCTTAATCACAACTGCAAAGTACCTTTTGCCATGTACAGTAACATATTCACTGGTTCCAAGAATTGACCAAAGAGTGTGGACATCTTTGGGGGCCATTATTCTGCCTACCACAACCGGATATGAGTGAGCACTAGAATTTTCCACCACGTGGTTCTGCTCAAATTTCACAGCATCAGAGGGAACTTCCCCAATGACCCTAATTAAATAGCAGCTCCTTCCAATCATTCTGTAATTGAGGGCATAAATTAAAGAAAAAAATATATATATCACACCCTTGTGTAACAATATTCTTTTTCTCCAAGTAACAAGCAGATGCAGTGCCATTGGAAAAGCAAAAATTGATAAGTAGATCTTTCCATGAAATGGTGTGCATAATATCTTTTTCTTCTTAGTTTCTATATATAAAGGAAAAAGTTTTTTTTTTTTTTTTTTTTTTTTTTTTGTGTGTGTGTGTGAGGAAGATTAGCCCTGAGCTAACATCCGATGCCAATCCTCCTCTTTTTTGCTGAGGAAGATTAGCCATGGGCTAACATCCATGCCCATCTTCCTCTACTTTATATGGGATGCCACCACAGTGTGGCTTGACAAGCAGTGCGCTGGTCCACGCCCGGGATCCGGACCTGCAAACCCTGGGCCGCTGAAGCGGAGCTCATGAACTTAACCACTATGCCCCCCGGCCAGCCCCCTAAAGGAAAAAGTTTAAAAAAAAAAAAAAACGAAAAAGAAAATCAGGGAGACTTCATCACCTTTCGGATAACATCTTTCTTACTTTTAATCTGAGACTCTTAGAGAGCATTTCAAGCTAAGATATTTAGAAAGATGTCAGAGACATTACATTTGGCTTGGATAAATCTAGTGGTATATTAAAATTAAACACTGGTCTTGAGTCTGTAATTCAAAAAAAAATCATCCTCATTCCTTTGTCCTGCTTTATTTTTCTTTTTAGTGCTTACCACCACCTGACATATTAAATATTTGTCTTTGTGTCTACTATTTCCGTCTCTTCAACGAAAACGTGAGCTCCATGGGAGCAAGGACTTTGAGTTGTTCATGGCTGTATCACCTGCATCTAGAAAAGTACATGACAAATAGTATATGCTCCATAAATACTTGTTGAAAAACTATCAATAAATGGCCTAACTGTGCCTCAACTAAACCTGGAGTCATGCCTCAAGCATCTGTATTATCAGGAGTCATAGAGAACCCCAAAGAGCAGTGGCTTAAACAAGATAGAAGTGTATTTCTCTCCAGCATAAAAGACGTCTGGAGATAGTCAAGCCACCAGGAACCTTCTAGCTTCCTCCCTACCATCCTTAGAATGGTCCTTGTTCTCGTGGTCCAAGATGGCAGCTAGTGCTCCGGTCATCGTGTATATATCCATGCAGCAAAAAGAAGAGGAAGCAAAAAGAAAAGGCCAAAAGCCCCCCACAGCTGATTATAAGGATGTTTTTACACAATCCCTGTTTTTATCTCATTGGCCAGAATTGAGTGATATGACCACACCTAGCTGCAAGAGAGGGTGGAAATATACCCTTTAATGCTGGGCTGTCTTGCTTCCAGCTAAACAGGGTGTTTTGATATCAAGGAAAGAAAAAAGAAGGGATAGTTGGGAAAATTAGCCGACCGGGCTTGATGCCAACCCTCAGCCAATCAGAAATCAAAATGTGCTATGACATCATGAGGTGCTAGGCAGAGCAGTCTTTAGGCATTTCCGGGAAAAGAGGCTGAGATTGGGAGTAGCTGGATGGATGTATGGCATGACATTCCCTCCCACCTTCCGCTGCCCTGACAGAGGCCCTAGGACATAATAGGTACTCAATAAATGTCTGCTGAATAATGGGCGGATCCTATTATTATCCCCATTATATAGATGAAGAAGTTAAGGCTCCTGGGGGGACTCCAGCTTGATATGCGGGCAGAGATTCAAACCCAGATGTGTTTGGCTTTGGCCAGAATTCTTTACCACCTCTTCAATAAAGAAATTTGCTCCGAGAGGCAAGGCATCTTAGCAACCGTCACACAGCAAGTAGCTGGCATTCAAAACTCAGTTCTCTAGAGCTGAGCTGTCCAATACTGTAGGCACTAGCCACATTGGGCTATTTAAATTTAAATTAATTGCAATGAAATAAAATTTAAGATTCACTTCCTCGGTCACCTTAGCCACATTTCAAGTGGTTGGTGGCTACCATATTGGACAGAGCAGATAGAGAACATTTCCACCATCACAGAAAATTCTATCGGATGGCACCACTCCAGAGACCATGTTCATGAAGAGCATGGACTCTGGAGCCAGACTGTCTGGGTTCAAATCCCTCTCTGTCCCTGAGTTTTCTCATCTGAAAAATGGGGATAATGTCAATAATAGCAAGTAACCCACAGGGCATATTACAAGGATTAAATGAGTTAATATGTGCATGTAATGGGCTTAGAACGCGCTTGGCAGAGTAAGAGCCATTTGAGTTAGTTTGTTATTATTTAAGTGCCCGTTGGCCACACTTCCCCAGGAGAGGAGAGCCCGGGAGGCGAGAACACAGAGCAGGAGTTTGCTGGGCTCCCCAAGAGAGTGGGAGTTGAGAGCAAGGAGAGAGGGGTGAGGAGACCAGGAGAGACTGTGGGAACCACCCAGGCCTAGAGATTCCCGGCCCTGCTGCCTCCCACTCAGGGGCTGGGGAGGTAGGAGATGAAAGTGAGGAGCGGGGCAAGCCCCATATGTTTCTTATGACCCTAACTTTGTTCCCAGCCCCCGAGACTAATAGGCATGAAATCCACATCTGGGACCCCCCTCCCAGCCTGGCCATTCCCTCCGCCTCCGGGCACCAAGCCCAGTCCGTCTGTGCGCTACAATGGAAGTGGCACAGGTGGCTTCCAGAGCTCAGAGGAGGCCCCTGCCCACCTGGCTTCCTGGTAGAGCAGACTCCTGAAGGGCACAGGAGTTTGAGTAGGAATTTGCCCAGCAGAGAAGGGGGTAAAAGAACCCCACTTACAGGCAACCATTTGTGCAAAGGTCTGAAGGCCAGGGGGCCTGGTGTGGTAAGAGAAGAGAGACAAGGCTGGAGACTGCTATTACTATCAGTATTATTATTTTTATTCCTGCTGTCTTCTTTTGTCTTGCCTCTTTTCTGTCTCCATAGCTCCCTCTGCCTTCAAGTCTCTCCTCTCTCTCTCTCTCTCTCAACACATTTCGGCGTTTTTGGATGTCTCACCGACCTCTAAGTCTCACGGGCCTTTAAGAGTCTGTCTCTCTCCATTGCTCTGTCTCTTTCTTCCTCTCCCCACCTGTGATGGTTTAAAATAAGCCCCCAAATTCTTTGATACTCTTCCCTTCAAGAGGAGGAGCCTAATTTCTTTCCCTTTGAGTAGTGATTCACTTCTGACAAATAGAATAAAGCGGGAGTGATGGTGTGGGACTTTGGAGATGAGGTCATACGAGATACTGCTCCCTTTCCCTCTTCAATGACTCGCTCTGGGGGAAGCCAGGGGCCACGTTGTGAGGACACTCAAGCAGCCCTATGGAGAGGCCCAGGTGGTGAGGAGCTGGGGCCTCCTGCCATCAGCTATGTAGGTGAGCTTGGAAGTCATCGTCCAGCCCCAGTCAAGCCTTCGGATGACTGCAGCCCTGGCCCACAGCTTCCTGCACCCTCAGGAGAGACCCTGAGGTCTCTGTTGAGATCTGAGCCAGAGCTACCAGCTAAGCTGCTCCAAAATTCCTAACCCTCAGAAACTGTGAGACAATAAATGCTGCATTAAGCCACTAAGTTTTAGGGTAATTTCTTATGCAGCAATGGACAATGAACACACACCTTTCTTTCTTGTTTTCTCTGTCTCTCTCCATTTCTGACTCTCTCTGGCGTCTCTGTCTCCCTCCCTCTTTGGTCCTTGAATGTCCATTTCCAATTGTCTATCTCTGAATGCCTCTGTCTTTCTGACTCCTCTCTCTTTATGTCAGCTTGGTCTGTTTCTGGGTCTCTCTGTCTCTGTCCATCTGTTCTCTGCGTTGATCTCTCTTTCTCTGCACCAGTGTCTCTATTTATAAATATGTGTGTGTGCCTGCCTCTTTCTCTGTCTCCTGGTCTCTCTGTCCCTAGCTCTCGGGGTGTGTGTTTCCATGTCTTTCTGTTTCTCCTTAGCGTTTGCTGTGTCTCTCTCTCTTTGAGTCTCTTTTTCAGGGCTGGCCCGGTGGCACAAGCGGTTAAGTGTGCGCGCTCCCCTGTGGCAGCCTGGGGTTCGGTGGTCCGGATCCCGGGCGCGCACCGATGCACTGCTTGGCAAGCCATGCTGTGGCGGCGTCGCATATAAAGTGGAGGAAGATGGGCATGGATGTTAGCCCAGGGCCAGTCTTCCTCAGCAAAAAAAAAAAGAGTCTCTTTTTCTGTTTCTGTGTCTCCGCATCCACCTCCTGCCTGGTCTTGTTCTTCCTTCTGTAACCTGCTGTGTGAGTCTCTGTCTCTGGGTCTCTCTGCTTCTATCTCTAAGTGTGTGTCTCTGTATCTCTTTCTCTGCCTCTATCTGTATCTCTCTCATTCTCTATCTCTTTTCCCCTCTTTCTCGCTGTATCTCTCTCTCTGTCTCTACTGTGTGTGTATTACTTTCTGTATATCTTTCATTCAGAGTGTGTGTGTGTGTGTGTGTGTGTGTGTGTGTGTGTGTCTATCTGTCTGTCTGTCTGTCTCTCCGTCCCTCCTGCTCGGCCACCCACCCTCCGATCTCCAGCCTGCTGTCTCTCTCCGCCATCTCTCTCTGTATCTATCTCAGGCTCCCCTCCCTTCCCGAGCCTCCGCAGTTCTCCGCCCTCACCTCCGGCTCTCTGCCTCGGCCTTCCCGGCTCCTCCTCCCGCCTCTCTCTCTCCCTCTCCAGGTCTCTGCCTCCCCCTCCTGGTCAGCGGCCCTCACCGCACCCCACTCTCCCAAGGGATCCCCGAGCCGCGTTAAGGCAGCCCCTGGCGGAGACCCGAGTGGAGCACTGGGCGGGGGCTGCACGCGCTGGTGCAGGCTCCACCCGGGGTCCACGCGAGTTGGGGGACCCCGGATCCTCCGGGGCCAGCGGCCCTGAGCACGAAGGCTTCCGACGACTCTCCCAGCTCCACCTTAAGCGGCCCTCCTTCCCCCTTCTGCGGAGGATGGGAACTGCCAGCTCCGGGCCCCAGGTGTCCGGGCCACCCCGGCCCCCACAGCCCCAGCACGGCCGGGAGCGGGGACCAGCGCCCAACGACCCCTCCATCCTGCCCCTTGGGCACCCCCCGACACACACACACAAACACCAGCCCGAGGAGCGTCCGCTGCTGTGAGAGCACCTGACCCCCCCCAACAACAACGACAAAAAAAAAAAAAAAAATTAACACCGAGAGAGAGAAGAGAGGGAGGGGGAGGAGGGAGGAAGGGACGAGAAAGAAAACAAAAAAAAAAAAAAAAATTAACACCGAGAGAGAGAAGAGAGGGAGGGGGAGGAGGGAGGAAGGGACGAGAAAGAAACAGAGAGAAGAGGCAGGAGAGGAGGAGGTGGAGAGAGAGAGAGAGAAGCTGGAGACAGGCAGAGAGGGAGAGAGGGAGGAGGAGAAGGAGGAGAGAGGAGCAGGATGGAGACATGGAGTTAGGGGCTTGGGGGAGCTTGATGAAAAAAGAGCCAAGAGGGGGTGTGGATTAGAAACCACGAGGTAACCCGAGGGAGAGGAGGAGGAAGATCGGAGGTAGAGGGAGACTGGGGAGTCCGGGGGAAAAGCAGAAGAAGGAGACGCACAGAGAGAGGGGAGAGGAGAGAGGAGTGGGTTTGGTGGGGTGGGTGGCTCAGTCCCTGGCTCCCTCCGTATTTGGGGAACCGGGACTCCTTGTGGGGAGGAGAGGAAGGCTGGGAGTCCTGGAGGGACAGGGTCCCACAAAAAGGAGAGGGAGGAGCTGAGAGAGAGGGGGCCAGGGCATTGGGAAGGGGTCGCTCAGAGATCTCCTGGGGATGGGGGGCGCCGCTCATCTGAGCGCCCCTCGAGCGCTGGTACTCTGGGCGGCACTGGGGACGGCAGGTAAGGCCTGGGGGTCCGGGCCGGAGCCCCTGAGGGAGGGGTGGGGGTGGGGTGCCAAGGAGAGGGATTCAGGCTGCTCTCTCCCCAGCTCACATCGGACCTGCACCTGACCCCGAGGACTGGTGGAGCTACAAGGATAATCTCCAGGGAAACTTCGTGCCAGGTGCAGCCAGGGCGGGGACCCAGGAGTCTCGGCTGCAGGGCGCCTCCTTTTTCAGACCCAGAAGCCTTCTCTTCCCCCCAGGACCCAGGAGCCCCTGCCCCGTCTCCCTCCCTCCCTCCCTCGGGAGTCCGCCCAGCCTCTGAACCCCAGAGGCTCACCATTGGACATTACACATGCTCATTTCAAGTAGTGAGTGGGAGTGAGTGGAAGGAAAGAGAGTGTGGGGGTGGAACAGGGTGTGTGTGTCTGCAGAGAAAGAGGCAGGTAGGTCCCCGCACCTGCTGAGAGCCAGAGGTTTGGTGGCCTATCCCTCACCTTGTCCTGCCCTTTCTTGCAACTCCTCTCCCCAAAACATTCGTTAGCCAGCTGTGGGACCAGGGAGGCTGAAAGAACTACAACTCCCATGGGCTCTGGGGCAGGCAAGCAGTGGATGGGCAGGCTGGCAGCCCTGGGGCCTGCTGGGAGTTGTAGTTCCTTCCCCAATGACAATTTGAGATAGGCTTGGAGGTTAGAGGGTCTTAGGAAACTCCTCTAAGACCCTTCTAAGACCCAGCATTCTGGATCCCAGCCCCCTCCTCCCTCAGACCCAGGAGTCTAGGTCCCCAGCCCCTCCTCCCTCAGACCCAGGAGTCCAGCCCCCAGCCCCTCCTTCCTCAGACCCAAGAGTCCTGGGCCCCAGTCCCCTCCTCCCCCAACCCCTCCTCCCTCAGACCCAGGAGTCTAGGTCCCCAGCCCCTCCTCCCTCAGACCCAGGAGTCTAGGTCCCCAGCCCCTCGTCCCTCAGACCCAGGAGTCTAGGTCCCCAGCCCTGCCTCTCTTAGGATCCAGGAGTCCAGATCACAGCCTTCTCAGCAGGTCCCAGCACTGGGGTCTGATCTCTACTTCTGACTCCCTTTCCTCCCTGCCCTGCCCCTGCCCCCAGGGCCTCCCTTCTGGGGCCTGGTGAATGCAGCCTGGAGTCTGTGTGCCGTGGGGAAGCGGCAGAGCCCCGTGGACGTGGAGCTGAAGAGGGTCCTTTATGACCCCTTTCTTCCCCCGCTGAGGCTTAGCACTGGGGGAGAGAAGGTAAGGGGCCTGGCGGGAAGGGTTACCGAATCCACTGGGGGTGTGCATGAATGGGGGTTGGGAGTGGGGCACTGAGGTGGGAGGCCAGCCTTGGGGAAGGAGGGGTACACACTGGGTGGAGAGGAGGCCCCTTACACTTTAAAATGGATCACTTCCTCTTTCCTCCCCAAACACGGCTCCCTAGTCTTCCCATCTCTGTAGAAGCAATGGTAAAACAGACGATTTCCAGGGCCAGGCACTGTTTTAAAACCTCGATAAAGCCTCTCATCCTCACAACCTTGTCAAATAGGTGCCGTTATTATCCTTATTATATGGAGCCAGAAGCTGAGGCACAGAGAGGTTAAGTTACTCGCCTGAGGTCACACAGCTAGACAGTGCCAGCGCTGGGATTCAGACCCAGGCAGTGTGGTCCCAGCACCCATGCTCTTGCCCACTTTGCAATGCCATTTCTTATAAGAGCCGGCACCACCATTCACTCAGCAGCTCCAGCCAAAAGCCACAGAGCTATTCCCCATCCTCTTCTCTCCCTCCTTCCCATTTCTAATCCCTGTCCTTTCTAGTCTCCCTGCTAAATATCATTCACATCTTTTCACTTCTTGTCCCCTCCACTGCCCCTACCATAATATTGCATCTGGACTGGAGCCATAGCTTCCTTGCTGGCCTGCCTCTCTGCCTCCTGCAGTCCACTGCACATCTAGAGAGATGTTTAAAAATACAAACCAGATCATATAACTCTGCTGCTCAAAATCCTTCTATTAGGATAAGTAATAACAGCAAACACTTCTACAGCACCTATCATGTGCCTGGCACTGCACCAAGTGTATTATATATATTCAATTATTTAAATAAAAATACAAAATGCCCCATCATTGCTCACAAGGCACTGCACCATCTGGCTCTCATCTCCACTCTCTCCTTTGCTCACTGGGCTCTGGTCCCACTGGCCTCTTCACTGTCACTATAACAGGCTACCTCAGGGCCTTTGCACTTGCTGTTGCCTCTTCCTGGAATGCCCTTCTCCCTGCTCTTTGCAACTAACCTAGACTTATCCTTCAGGTCTCCATTCAAATTTCACTTCCTCATGGAAGCCTCTCCTGACCCCACACCCCCACCCTATTCTAGGCTGGGTTTCCCATTACACCTTCTCAGAGCTTCCAGTTCTTCCCAGCACGAGCACAGGATGTAATGAGTTAAGCGGTTACTTATGTGACTCAGTATTTATTGTCTGTCTCGCCTCCATTAGAACGTAAGGTCCATGAGGCCCAGGATTTTTGGCTACTTGTTCATTGCTCTCTTCCTGGCATCCATGGCACATAATAGCAGCTCAATAAATATTTGTTAATTAAATAAATTCACTGATATTGAGCCCCTACCATGGACCAGCACAGAATCTGGCAAGTTGCTGGTGTTCAAACTTGCTGAATGATTAAATCATTGTTGGAAGCGGGAAATGTAGGGGTGAAAAACAGGAAGGAGAAGATCTGTGTCTCTGTGATGGCTTCCACCTCTCCCACAGCTCCGCGGAACGCTATACAACACTGGCCGCCACGTCTCCTTCCTGCCTGCACCCCGGCCCGTGGTCAATGTGTCTGGGGGGCCCCTCCTTTATAGCCACCGACTCAGCGAACTGCGGCTGCTATTTGGAGCACGTGATGGAGCCGGCTCTGAACACCAGATCAACCACCAGGGCTTCGCTGCTGAGGTGGTGCCCACTGACCTCTGACCCTCGACCCTCATCCCGAGTTGACCCTAGTTCCTCCTGCCTCACCCTCCTCTTAAGGCCTGACCCCCATCCTCCTCCACAGAACTGGCCTCCCCACTCTGAGCACTAGCTCTTAACCTGATGTGAGACTCCAGAGGCTCCGAGTGGGCCCCATTCTCTCCTCCCCTTCTGCTGGGGGACCACACTCTCTGTGACCCCCTCTCAGGTGCAGCTCATCCACTTCAACCAAGAACTCTATGGGAACCTCAGCGCCGCCTCCCGGGGCCCCAATGGCCTGGCCATTCTCAGCCTCTTTGTCAATGTGAGCCCAGGCAAGATTCTGAGGGACAGGAGTGCTGGGCGCCTGGAATCTGGGGTCTGAGGAAGAGGGAGGCTGGAGCCCAGATTCCTGAGTCCTGGTGGGGGAAGGGATTGGGGGCTTGGACTTCTGGGCTCCTGCCTTCTCACCTCGTTCCCCTGCCTCAGGTGGCTGGCAGCTCAAATCCATTCCTCAGCCGCCTTCTTAACCGGGATACCATCACCCGCATCTCCTACAAGAGTAAGTCCCTGGTGCGTTGCGGGGGGAGGGGTATGCACATGAGGGGAGTTCAAGAGGGGCCCCCGTCTTCGCTCTGGCCTGATATTCCTGCAGATGATGCCTACTTTCTTCAAGACCTGAGCCTGGAGCTTCTGTTCCCCGAATCCTTCGGCTTCATCACCTATCAGGGCTCTCTTAGCACCCCGCCCTGCTCGGAGACTGTCACCTGGATCCTCATTGACCGGGCTCTCAATATCACCTCCCTGCAGGTGACCCTCTGTCTGCGCCCCCCACCCCCGGCCTGGGTAACCCATTCCCTGCCTTGGGTATCCCCTTACTTCACCTACCCTCCTTCCCGCCACTGACTGGGAACGCTGGGGAGTAAGAGGATCAGACAACCCTTGAGGGTGGGATGGGGCTGAGCAAGGCCCCGCCCACCCGCTCCCAGGGGCGGGGCTTCCCTGTGACATCACCAGGACCATTCATTATTTACTCCCAGTTTCTCACCCCCTTTCCACGGCAGATGCATTCCCTGAGACTCCTGAGCCAGAATCCTCCCTCTCAGATCTTCCAGAGCCTCAGCGGTAACGGCCGGCCCCTGCAGCCCTTGGCCCACAGGGCCTTGAGGGGCAACAGGGACCCCCGGCACCCGGAGAGGCGCTGCCGAGGCCCCAACTACCGCCTGCATGGTATGGTCCAGTCTGCACCCCCTCCACGTCTTGGTCTAACCCGCCTGTGTGTCTCCCCATGGTGTTTCAATATGATACAGTCCTGCCCCGCTCTGCTGCTGCTGTGTGGTCCAGCCTCCCGAGTTCTCACTTGCTCTGTCTCCCTTCTCCCTATGTGTCAGTATGGTACAGTCCGCCTCCCAGCCATAGACCACTGCTGCTCCATGATTTGTCTTTCCTCTCCACTGCTTGCAACTTGCAACTTGGTATATAAGCTGAAGCCCCTGGCTTCCTTGTGGTGCGATTAACTACTGGTCCGTGGTTCCTATTACTATGGCTTTCCAGAATGGTACAGCCCGCATCCTTTTCCCTGTTTCCATGTGGTACAACCCTATCCTGTTCCTTAATCTGCTGTTCCCCTTACTGAGAATCAACATGGTACAACCTCCTTCCCTTCCTACTGCCGTTAAGCCCACTGATCTAACGGCCACCTCTGTGGCTTCTCAACATGGTACAGCCCATACCTACCCCCCACCCCCACTCCCGCCCATGAATACTTTCACATAGTTCAACCTAAAGCCAAAACTGGACGTCCGTATTCCACCCTCCTGCTGCCTCCCTATAGTTCGGCCCAGTGCTCGTCCAGAATCTGACCATTTCCCCCAGCTTCTCAACTTGGTACATCCCGGCTCTCCCTTCGCAGCCTCACTGTGGTACAGCCCTGCGCAGCCCAGCCCCCGCCCCCTGCACACCCCCAGCGCGGTCAATGCCCAAGCTAACGCCCCCCACCGGTGTCGTCTGTCTTACAGTGGATGGTGCCCCCCATGGTCGCTGAGACTCCCCATCGAGGATTGCGCCTGCCCTCCCCAAGCCTCCCCACCAGGGGAGGGGAGTCACCCCCAAAACAAAGCTATTAAAGGGACAGAATACTTCCTGTTTCTCAGTGGTCTGATTTTAGGCGCGGCGGGGAAACTTTTGGGTAGTAAAGAATAAGCAGCCTTCTAGAAACCGATCTCCCCCTTCTTAAACCCCACGACTCGGCTTTTTGGCCTCTTGTTCCCCAAAACAGGCATTTGGATATGCGGAGCCGCTTCCCTTACCCCCGCCCTTACCCACCTGCCTGGTCAGGCAGCACGCGCAGAGCCATGTGCTTCCCCCTCCCGCCTGCCTCATTGGCCCGAACTGGGTCACGGTTCCGCCCCCAGCGCCGTCTCCCATTGGGCAAATGTAGGTCAGGGTCCCGCCTCCCTCCAGAAGGAAGGCAACTTCACGCACTGAGCCCCTCATGCGCCCTCCCGGGCCTTGATGGATCCAGGGGTCCCATTGGCTGTGCGTCTCGAGGGGTCGAGACGCGATTGGCCCGCGCTTTCAGCCGGAGGGAGGCACGCGGCTGGGGTGCATGGCCCAGGAAGCGGGAGGGGCTGGGCGGGCGCGGGCGCGGGCGGGGGCCGAGAGGAGGGGTGAGTGCTGTGGCGTCGGGTGTTTTGGTTTGGTGTTTTTTTTTTTCCGCGAAAGAAGTTTGCTTTGGCCACGCCTCAAGGCAGCCGCCTCCTCCTGCCCCCTCCCCCGCCCCTCCACGCACACCTCTCGGTGCAGATTGCACAGCGCCTTCCGTTGAGAGAGCAGCAGATTTTGCAGGAGCCAGGCTCGCCCACCTTGTAGAAGGAGCGCCTTGTGTCCCCCATGAACTCTCCGTTGCAAAGAGCCGGCCGCCTGATTTGATCACCCCCTCACCCGGACTGCATGGTCTCCTGGGACCCCTTTGAGTTGCACGTTTCTGCACCGAGGACTGCAAATCCCCGTTGCTCCTACGATTTGCACTGTTCTGGATACTGGAGGCTTGCAAGCTACGCTCGCCCGCCCCTGGGCAGAGACACTCGCCGGAACCACAGGAGTGTGCTGGTGACTGGCAGGCCAGTTCTTCGCCTCTCCATGAGCCCGTGAGCCTCCGGGCAGGTGCCCGGCGATGGCGCGGCCCATGAGCGACAGGACCCCGGCCCCCCTGCTGCTGGGCGGCCCAGTTGGGGCCCCCCCTGGCGGGGGAGCGCTTCTTGGGCTGCGGAGCCTTCTGCAAGGGACCAGCAAGCCCAAAGAGCCAGCCAGCTGTGAGTTCTAGCCCCCACCTCGCCCAGCTCAGATCAGACACCTACCCCCTTAGGGACTCAAGTCCTGGAGGGGGGTGGGGATGGTCCACAGCTATCTCCTACGTGCCGAGAGTCCATCTTCCCAATCTTTTTCTATCCAATTACTAAGGTGTTTAGGGCCCTAGATCCCTCAGCACCCAGGACCCCAAAGTACCGGCTCTCAAGCCTGCCCACCCCGAGGACCCAGGAGTCCAGGCCCCCAGCATCCTCCTTTCCGAGGACCCGAGTCTAGGTCCCAGCCCCCTCTTCCTTTTGGTTTCGAGAATCTGGACCCCTGGGGTCCAGGGAGGAGGGAGGGGGTGTGTCGGATGCTCACACGGTAGTGACACGGGCTTGGGCGGGGCCTCCTGGGGTCACATGGAGTCTAGGGATGAGGAATGTGCCCCAGGAATAGAGCCCCTTCCTGACCCTTACAGAGTGTGGGGGCGGGGAGAAGGGGATGCGGTGCACAGGAAGAGGGGGTAGGTTACAGAGGAATTACAGAGCTGTCATTTTTTTCTCTCACCTGCCCAACCCTCCACCTGCCTGTCTGAACTTCCGTCGCCCTTCTGTGTCTCTATCCCTTCCCGGGTCTCTGTCCCCATGTCTCTCTCTGCACTTCTGTCCTCCCCTCTTTGAGTCTCTCTCCCCTACTCTCTGTCTCTGCCGCCCTCGTCTCTGTCCTTTCTCTGTGGGTCTCTCTCCCTCTCTTGAGTCGCTGTCCCCTTGTTTCTCTGGGTCCTTGCCCTCCCTCTCCCATCCCTCCTGTCTGTTCCCTCTTTCTGTGGATCTCCGCCGTGTGGGTCTCTATCCCCCCTTTCCTCGTGTCTCTCTGACTCGGGGTCTCTTCTCCACCTCTATTTTCTCCCTCCCGACCCTGTCCGGTCTTTCCCTGGCCCCCAGGTCTCCTGAAGGAAAAGGAGCGCAAGGCGGCTTTGCCGGCAGCCACGGTCCCCGGGCCGGGCCTGGAGACGGCGGGCCCGGCGGATGCCCCAGCTGGGGCGGTGGTGGGCGGCGGGTCCCCGCGGGGGCGCCCAGGGACCGCACCTGGCCCGAGTCTGTTGGCGCCGCTGCTGTGGGAGCGGACGCTGCCATTCGGCGACGTGGAGTACGTGGACCTGGACGCCTTCCTGCTGGAGCACGGGCTCCCGCCCAGCCCGCCGCCCCCCGGTGGCCCATCACCCGCACCCTCGCCCGTGCGCACGCCCGCACCGTCCCCTGGGCCCGGCTCCTGTGGCTCGGCTTCCCCTCGCTCCTCGCCGCGGCACGCCCCCGCCCGGGCTG